AAAATACACTATTGGTTTTTCGATCGATATTTAGGTCTCAACAGAAAGAAAATTAAATACGTAGTTTTTAAAATCGCTGATATAATTTTAATATGGCCCTGGGGGGTCGCCAGAATTTTTTTAACTTGTAATGGGATCGCGTATTCAAGAAGGTTGAAAAACACTGCCCTAGACCACCGCTGACTGATTGCCCCTGGAAGTCGGCTTCTTACAGAAACACAACTTCCCTATCATCAAGCCCCTGAAGAGTAGACATGGAAAGTCATGGTAAACGGAGTTATATAGATGAAAGCCTAAACCCGATATGAAAAGATTGAAGGTAGGAGGCCACCATTATCTAACTACAGTATATATGAACTTCTGATGCAAAGCGAAAGTTACGTTATTTCAATTCATATATTTCCCCGGGAAAAGTTAGATAGATGACCAACACGACTCGATTTGCTAAAGGGAAAGTATGATGTAAAGGGGCAAGACGCTAAAATATTAATTTCAGGTGGAGAAAAACGGCAAAACCGTATTTGGGACAAGACTATGTCTCGGAGACTCACTACTAAGCGGAATCACTTTGACGCTCAAGGCTGGTCTCGTTCTCGTTCTCCAATCTTCTTTGGTATCACTGCTTTTGGGCGCGATCGTTCGAACTTCGCCGGCCTCGACCACGAGGTCGTCCACAATGCATTTTCGATGAAATTAACTTATCCAATTTCGAAATTTCTCTCCGTTGCGTGTCGGCCCGGGTTGAATTTCTGTCGATGCTTAACGAAAACCTCCCGTGAACGAAAAATAATCGTGGCTATTGTATAGTCCAAAATTATTTTTTAATTTTGCACAAACAATATACAGTTTAACCCGATTATAACGTCGTCGGATGTAACGACGACCCTAATATAACGTCAAATTTTTATCGGTCCCACGATTTTACTACACTAGATAATGTTAAAAAACCTACTTGTAACGACATAAAACCCTGTTTTAATATCATAATTGAAGCACTCCCAAATTTACAAAATTAGATTACAAATTTTATTTAACAAAAAAAAAATACTACGTGTTCAGTCCTAGGGTCAGAGCCACTTCCTAGAACGACTGTGGGTGGTACTCTCATCACCTGACTTCGGTTTCCCTGTTTGTAGAGAGAGTCGCTATTTTGTATTTTATTTTGACTTGGTTCTCGGTCCCCTGAATACCTACAAGTCTGGTATTTTTATGTGCGCATAATTTGGGCACATACTACTCTGTGCCAAATTGCAACTCCTAACATGTACTCCTTCATACCTTTAAGCAGGTAACACAGCAGGCAGTACGATTTTATAAACAAGACGTAGTCTTGTGAATTAAATAAAATTAAAAATATGATTAAAAATTACAGCCCGGTATTGTGACCATGTTACAATATGTTACAATAAATAATTGCTCGTTTCTATTTCGTTTAATTATTTTTATTAATTTACAACTTGTCATTGGTGATTCGACGAGGAAAATCTATTTGGACACAAAAAAGTACATTAATTTGACAAAAATTGCTCACATTCCAAATAAGTTATTTTTGAGCTATTATTCTTTTACAAAATTCTCACAATAATTCTTCCTATAAATATATTAGTAGTTAAAACTGAACTGGATTAGTTGCTGTTTATTGTTATATCTGTGTAAATGTACAATTAATAATAATAATAGGTCTAATTATAATGAAAACTAAATAAATATATAATGTAATTCCGAGCCGTAACTAGGGTATGGCCAACGTGGCCCCCGCCATATGCGCCGATTTAATAAAGGCGCCAATGATAAGGTTTCGAAATAATATGTATTCGAAATTAATAACAAAAAAAATTTATATTTATATTTATATAAATATATTTAAATGCCATTAAGTAATTTTTTACAATAGTATTTTTTTAGAATAAAATTATTTTTTTAATAATAAAAATAAAAAGGCGCCATTTTTATTCTTGGTCATAGGCGTCCAAAATCCTAGTTACGGCTCTGATGTAATTGAATTTATTGATTTTTCTAAATATCTCCAATATATTGTAATATTCTCAATCAAAACATACATTTATTTGCTGTCGTTAAATTAATATTAAGCTTTTAACATGTAAGAATTCCTGTTATACAGGGTGTATCAGAATGACGTTTTAAAAATTTGGAGGATTGTAGAGTATAAAATTTTGAACGTTTTGATATAAGGAACCTATAGCCGAAAATGTGATATAAAGTTTCTACAGTTTATACATTATATAAGCCTACCATATAATATGTAAATTACTGAAAGTGCAGTATTACTTATATTTTCTAACCGTAGTAATATCTATTGTATATTCAAGTTAAATAATTTGATGCTTAATTTCCTTCTTCTTCTTCTTCATTTTCAGCTTTCATTCCATGCACAAGAAGACCATTTCTAAAAATAAATACAAACACTAATCATGCATAATAATTGTATATTTTTTAAATTATTTTTGATAATCATTGTCAATATTTATTTATAGTGCCGCTGAGTAGATTAAACAAATTTATTTTAAACAAAAGGGAATAAACTAATATGAATCTTACATCAGTTAACACCTTTACTATTAATAAAAAATACCTTTTTTGCAATTTATTAAATTATATAATTATGTAACAGATATGAAAAGCTTAGATGACGTAGGCCTCGATATATAAACTTCTAGTCTAGAACAGAAGTCTATCATGTAAATTATTTCGCATTGTACGTACCTTTTTCTATCTTCTACTTGTGATAACATATCAGCCAATTGTGAATCTTTAGTTTCCGGTAAAAGTAAGGTCAAAACACAACAAATAAGAGAAAGTGTTCCAAATAACGCAAGAGGAAATGAAATATGAACATTGTTGGCCTTAAAAAATTATATAATATTACATATTAAAAAGTAAACAAATTTTACTTAAATTAAATAATAATACGTACTGCTTCTCTCATAAATGGAGCTGCCAGAGAACCTACTCTTCCCATCATTGAAAGTAATCCTATTCCAACATTGCGTACAACAGTAGGATAAGTCTCCGTTGCAAATAAATTCAAGGAACTTAATGAAATCGTTGTACAAAATCTGGATATTACAGTAAAAGCAATTAGAATGATTGGATAACCTGCAAATATAGATATTTAAATCAACTAGTAATAATTGAAATTAAAGTATTGAGACGTTAAAGAAATACCTGATTGCACTGCAATTGCTAAAAGATACATCAGACCGCTTCCTGCCATAGAAACGATCAGTGTATATCGCCTACCAATGAATTTTTGAAGGTAAAAGTAAACGGCAGAAGCTGGTATTTCTACTACAGCAGCCAGGAAGAAGAATAATAATATGTCTATTCCAATATCATAAGCTGAGAATGATAATCCATAATATGAGAGAACAATTGTTATTCTGTAGAAGAAATTTTAAATTACGAATAATTAGACATTCGTTTTATTTCAGTTAATTTTTTAGTTTAATTCCCATAAATACTTTCATTATTTAAATGTTTTTTTTTTGATGTTGTCGAAACTGTGTTGTATTTGCTTATTGTGTACAGTACACAATAAGTTTTTTTTTTATAATTTACGGAATTTCGTTTTCATATTGCCTATACATGTACACGAATAGAATCTGCATTCATTAATTTTGCTTTACAATTTATGAGTAGAATTGTTAGAGCTTAGTTGTTACGAAATATAAAACAACACAAATAAAATACAGCAATGCCTGAAGTTTGAATGTCTTCCTGAATATAATTAATTTCTCGAAGCCATTCGAACTCCGAATCGTTCCAAGTCTGAATCAATTTATCCCATTAGAAATAACGGAAAGTGAATTAATCTATTTCCATTCCCGGAACAATACCCATTTCAATAAACTTAAACAGCAAATGCACAAACTTTAAGGTAAAAATAGCGCATTTAAGTGCACGAATAGTAAATTAAACCACGGAAACCATAAATAAACGACGTAAATATCGTATAATTACATTTACTATTCACACACCGACGACTTCAGCATGGTAAACATGGCCACAAGATGCGACACGTGTATCGCTTTCATGTTTCGCAATAAGTTCCTTTTTCATCTCAATCGTTCACACTACAACCTTCCTATTAAACTTCGTTTCTACCACACACATCTCGAATGCCACAGTTACAGTAGAAAGTAAATCTTACATTGGGTTGAATAGAATGTTTTGCATATTTTAAAACAAAATATGAAGTAAAAAGTCTTGAAAATAAGCTTCTAAACAAAGAATACAATCTCACATTAGCAATAATGTGTTAAATTTCACAACTGTTATAATAAGCCACGCACATAAATTAAGTAACGACAGTCGTTAAATAAAATTAAATTGAAGTGTCTTCAGATAAAAGACATATCAGGTATATTACGCTTTACGAATTTCAGATAGGATATAACATCGTAAGAACAATAAAGAGAATTCGTAATGTATATAAGGTTTGCTTTGGTTTTATTCGTATACGGCAACGCGACATGTCGAGTGAAGAATGCCTCCAGGGATGTCTTTTATCGGAAACTGGGCTCTATTTAGATGTTAAAATGTGAAGAAAATCCGGAAAACCCTACGTGGCGAGTTCGTTGGCAAGGCGCAAACCTACGACCAAATACCACTGTTTAGTGATTTAATCCATTCGCCCACTGATGGGCCATGTGCATAAGGAAGATGCTTTTAAATTTTCAACATGTCAAATCTGGAAATTTTGAACTAAAAGATACAAAACTCAAGGGGGACCCAAAAACTGTCGACCAGAAAACAAATAAAAGAAAAAGAATTGCTAAAAATTGACAAATAACACATAATATATAACGAAACGCATGAACTAGATAGGTAACATCGGGGATGTTTCTGAATGTAGTTAGCCTAGGCGAGCAGTTTGAGCAGTAATATGTCACAAATTAAAAGATCATAAGTTATTTATTGTTGAGAAAAGGAAAAAAATATGACGAACAGTACAGATAAAAAAATAAAGTGTAATAAAGAAATTAAACTACACTAAACTAAGAAATAAGAAATAAAAGAATAATAAAATAAAATCAGTTGGCATTTAAGCAGGGAAAGTCTTGGATAAATTAGAGTCGATCGTTAAACCGTCGGCATTTGAGTTTATCCAGTCTGGACTGAGGCAAGTGTCTAAAACATAACGTCGATAAATCGCTTGACACGGCTAAAATTCATATATTTGAAATAGTTACAGAAAAGTCTAAAATTTCCGATGGGATGAGAGGAAGGAGTTGAGCGTAATTGCTGACATGTGGATGAAAGGAAATGACATTTCCTTTAAATCGGTACATGGGGATGAGGGACGTAAATCCGATTCCTTTTTTTTTAGAACTCGGATAACTTTTCCGTAGTTTGACCGAAATTCACCAAACTCAGGAAAAATATCAAGCAACTATCTAGCTTTATATTCCAAAAACAACACCCGAAAATGTCAAAATACTTTTTTGTTATTAAGCGTCAAAGAAGCGAAAGTCGACACTTTCGTTTTTTGAATATATTTTTGCTCGGAGTTAATTATATTTTCCAAAAAGTAATTTATGCACACGCCAGGGTTTTGTTGAGCATTTTGGCCGCAAATTAATCAAAACTATTCGGTATATTGTTTTGTAACCAGTGTAATTACGAGTTCGAAATTCTGTTCACGAACCGATTTGTTTGAACAGTGAATCGTTCGACTGTATAATTAAAATAAAATTCCAAAGAATGTTCAGATTTCAAATATGTATTTCACTAATTTTAACAAGGTTATTAACATCAGATTTTGTTGAACTTACGAAATTATGTAGAATATTAAACTGACTTTTCGTAAATGAGAATTTTTCATGATATTCAGAAATGTCACTCGTTTGCCTTTTTCTTCGCTTTCCTAAATTTCAAATATATTTCTATTAATATATATAGGAAATTAATCATTTCCTAAATTAATAGTAATCAATTATATATCGAGCAAATATATTATTATTTTTTAACAGTATATTCATTTAAAATGACCGATTAAAGAGATATGTTAGAACTTAATTACCTTCACAATTTTTTCAGTTATATTCTTGAATTTTTTAGCGAAATTTTCAATTTGGAGTTTATTTATTTTTATTGCTTTCCTCATTACTTTCTCGGCTTCAATTATTTTTCCTTGGGTAATAAGCCACCTTGGAGATTCCGAAGTGACCCTTTACAATTACAAAATTACAAAAAATTACATTGAAAGTTTAAAAAATTGTCAGTAAAACAATTCATCCTTTAATTAATTAATTTAATTCTTTAAAATTAATTTAAAATGAGTTTTCTTACCACCACGACGGAAGACAGATTACACATGGTAAAACACATATTATTTCTATATAAAACCAATCTCTGAAAATCCAAACAAGTCCAGGGAGAATAAGTTGTCCCATTATATATCCTAGTTTACCCATTAATCCTACCATCAGTCTGTGTTCTTTTTTAACAATTTCTGTTACTACATCACAGAATAAAAGGAAGTTTTTTGTTTTTAATTGAAACAATCGAATAAAATTGTTATACAATATTTCAATAATAATTTTTTAAAAAATGCTTACCATGTACATACACGATTAGTGTCGAAGTTGGCCTACCAAATGCAAGTAAAAATCGACATGCAAGAAACATCCAGAAAGACGAAGTAAATATACTTATCATACTGAATGTGAATGTCCACGCTGAACACAAGTAGAACATAGGTTTCCTGCCAAATCTATTTGTGAGTGGAAAAAATATACATTCAGATATACGTATAATATTTGTATACTGTATATCTTAATAATAAAAACATACTTATCAGATAATTGACCTCCAATGAAAACAGAGATTAAAAATCCTATAAAATACAACAGTTGCGCAAAAGATACTAACCATGCTCTGTCACACACTAGATCCCACTGAAAATTAGTAACATTAACTGTAATTTCATAAAATAATTTTCTTACAATCGTAATACTAACTCAAAATAGTTAAATTATTAATTTACACTTTACTTACAAGAATTTTTCTGGATAAAGGAATAGTTTACCCTTATTCATAAACTTTATTTTCCTTTTTTTTTTTTAATTTTACGGTTCAAAATAAATGTAAAAACTAAATTAAGATAAACTATTTTCGCACAAGAATTAATGCTCTGTATTTGTTATGAGTTTGTTAATTATTTGGTTTTTTTATGTGGAACATTACCAATAACAATGCATGTCGCTTGTTATTTCCATTTCCATATACAGCAGCTAAGAAATTTTTTCAGTCGAGGTGTATATTTTCTCTTTATGTTCCACACAGGAAGAAACAATAAAGGATAAACAGTTTCAGTTTTCGAAAATCGCGTTGTATCTGTATTATATATAACAAATGCCACTGCAACACTGTCTATATGTTTTATTATTATAAACAAAAAAATTATTTATTTAAAGTGCAAATTTCATCTTCTCGGTAACGTTACATTGATTTTTAACTTATTTATTATAGAGCCAGAGCCTTTCTGAAAGATAAAACTAGACTTGGCGGAATATCATATAATTTAATATTACAACATTTAAACTAAAAAAAAATTAAAATAATTGTTAAATATTAACTATTATTTTATCATGTCGAAATTATATTTAGAAAAATTTTAAAATAATTGACAGATAAGAAATAGCACCAAAGACGTTACATTCAATAATTTTTAATGCAATACTGCTGCGTTAATAAGCAAGATAACTCACATATATATAGCATTTTGCCCACCTATAGAACGCAAAATATGTCATTTTATCTAGTGGAAGCAGTGATATGTTTCTTTCCGAGATTAAGCGATAAGTGTCGACATTGATCGTCTAGTGCAATATAAACAGAGATGAAAATACTTTCCAATATATTCCATTTCTTTGGAGTAAAAACCACGAGTTCCGTTAAGAAAAACGTTTGAACTGAAAATGCAAATGCTGCCAATTAAGAATCGTCCACGTAGTATACTTGCAATACCTCCAGTAATTGTCTCAAGCAATGAGCGCTTACATATTAATTTTAATGTTTTATAGTTTTAAGGTATTTAAGGCGATAATCTAGTAGTAAGCAATACAATAAATTTATAACGAAATAAAAGAAACAAAATAAAAACATAATTTCTTATATAAACACATAAATTTTGAACTGTAAACTATAATGAATACTAAAGAATTACACATAAAACATTTTTCTGTATTTTTCAAAATGTAATCTTCAGAAACAGAAATTATCAATGTTTTCGTTCGATAAAATTGAGTAAAGTTTTATACCTAGCTATTCACATAGAGAAAAAGGTCTTTTGGCAGTTTTCAGACAGATTATTCGGTCACACCTGTGTTTGGCGTTACACAGTCGTGCCTATTCATATCTATATTTTGAATTTTGAAAGTATTCTTTCTGGGGGGCGATAGTGACACGTATGTATGGCAGAGAGAGACAGCTACCTGTTTCGAATGGCCTGTACTAAGTGGCCTGGAGCTTCTCAGACATTTCGCAAGGATTACCGAGTGGTGCCACTTAGTGGGTGGCTGAGTGATTTGTACCCTTTTTGAACAATCAATCAATCAATCAATCAATTTATTTACATATGTACAAAGTACATCTCCAATACCGCATAGCACAATTGCGGTTGGTAATGGAGTACAGGACAATGGAAAATGATACAGAGCATGTAAATAAGTACACAGTAAGTACACAGAAACAAGGTGATAGATTAAGCAGGAGATGGAGTGAAACCGTAAACAGGTGTTATCCTCTGGTATGTATTTATCAGCTTGATGTGAAGTTCGTATAGCTCTTTGCTATTGAGGAGAGTATGATGATTACAGGGCCAGGTGATGTTAGCTGGAAGGCTTGTAATAATGAAAGTCCTTACCCTGAGGAGCATAGGACAATCAAAAACATAGTGGTCACTCCCATCTCAGACACCACAGTAAGCACACAGGTTGTTGTCCTGGAAACCGAAACGATTGAGGTAGCTGTTGAAGCGGCCGTGGTTGGTCAGGAATTGGGTAAGGTTATGACTGGGATTTAGCCATGTTAGGTCATTCCTGTGCTTGATGTTGGGAAGGTAGGCATGAGTGGTAACATTATGATCTCTGTCCCAGGCAGTTTGCCAGTTGATTTGCAGCTCTTCCCAGAGGGTTTTGCAAACATGTGAGAAGGGAATCGCTTTGTACTGTATAGGAAGACTGTCTTCAGTGGTGGCTTCCTTAGCCAATGTGTCTGCCCGTTCATTTCCTTTGGTGCCTTGGTGTGCCCTTGTCCAGGTCAGATAATAATTATTACTTGAACGAAGGAGTATTTTCTTAATTTTGTTGGCAGTTGGGTGGGTGTTGTTGTTCCTGATGATCTGAATGGCAGCAGTGCTGTCTGTAATAATGTGGA